AGCCACTCAAATCTGTGCACAATGAATATGCTTGATCAGGAACTAAAAAGTTTTTAGAAATATTTTCAATGAAGCTTCAAAGAATTAGCTGAGTTTTTGTCCAATTGACATGACTTGCAGCAACGACCCGAGCGCTATTTCACCCAATGGTGATTTTTGTATTAAAGTGAAAAACAAAACTTGATTTTCAAATATTTTGTATTTTAAGCTATAGTATGAGCCTACAATTTTTCTTTGTTCACTATAAGTGCACTTCCCTGCAAAAACTGCGAGAAATTTTTGTAAATGCCAAACTTTTCAGAAGTTTTTCATCTCATAGTGAGCAAAGGCAGGTCAAAACATTTTTTTACTTTTGAAATTCGAAATTTATACTGTTTCGATATCATAACAATATTTTTGTTCTAGATTTAATGATTTCATAACTGCTCAATCATTTGTTTTTGTGCAGTTGTTAACATGGGATTCAACTATTCCGAATTTACAGATTTTAATTCTGATATGTCTAGTTTTGTAGTCCAGATTTTGTTTTTAAATTCAACGATATTTTCTATGGAATATAAATGGTATATTTTGCATCGAAAACTACTTTCAGTTTAAGAATGTTCATAATTTTTTATTTCTCACTCAGTAAACAACCATTTATAGATTTCATGGTTTATAAATTATTCTTGTCTCTTAATAGATCCTGAGGTTGTTGCTGAGTGGAAACAAAAACATGGGAGTTGAAGGTTTGTCAACATTTGGACAAATACTTTCCAATCAATCCTGTGTTAAAGAGTTGGGCCTTGTCAACTGCAACCTGTCATCAGATGAACTACAAGCTTTCAAATCATCCTTGGGCAGCACTGAGGTATAACACAATAATAATCGCATAATTAACTTTTTTGAAAAGGGTTCGAATTCGATTTTGTAATAAGTTAAGTTTTACACTTTCATAGCCCAAAACTGGATTGCATGGTGAAATTTATGAAAACCGCTATAATTTTGAATTTATCTTTTTCAATAATAGTTCCCAGGCCTAATTGTTTATTTGTAAATTTGTTTGAAATATATAATACCCAATTCTTATGACCAATTTGGTTCTGTTGATTCCTGTCGTATGATTGTGTGGAATACCTAAAATTGTCCTACATTGTTCCTAAAGTATATTAGTTTTTTCTGATTAAGTTCCAAGTAAAATTGATTTTATTGAAAGGCAAATGAGCAAAATATTCTTTTTATTCAATTCAATACCTGTCGAATATATATTTTTGAGGGAAATGTGCACTCTAAACCAGGTCATCGACAATTGTCCACTCATATCTGTTAAAAGGAGTTACTATTTTTTGAAAATCTGTAAGCGTTTCAGTTCGGCATTGGCCTCGCATTTTATTACACCTTGAGTTCAGTGATTTGAACTTGTGCAATCTGGAATGCAAACACAGTCAAATCTAAATCTCTTACTACAGGGTCATCAAGCCAGTGCATGTTAATTTATATTTCCCATGTTATCCTATCAACTCCAAAAGTTGCTTTCTAGTTTGAGTGTTTAATAGTAAAAATAGATTGGAATTTGAAACTGAAAGTACCGGTAACTTATTTTAAACAATAAATAATGAATGATAACAAATCTAAAATTCTATTTATTTGCAACATTGAAAGTTTTATTTGTTCCATGACATTTAATTTTCACCTGATCAGATATAGAATTGTTCATTTCTATAAGCTTGTGTCACAGAATATTACATTTATTTCAGTCACCACTCACAAAGCGTTCAAAGCAAAATATAAAAAACTCATGCTCTCCTCTCACCAATCTGTAGCTGCCCCATCTCCCAGTTAATGTCGAGTTAGTATTCCATTTTTTTGCCATTTTCAGCTGAACAATTGACCAGATTCATAACTATTGAGTCTTTAGTACCTGGAATGGTCGTTCTTTGTGATTTGTGACTTTTTAAATCTCTTTCTATAATTAGTTTTATAGTGTATTTCTCTGCTAATTGGTACCATTGCATGGACATATTCCATGCGATAAGTAGGAGTGTTCTGAGGATATCACCCATATATTATTGATTGCAGTATGGCATTCAAAACAATAATTTCCAGGCCATAGATGTACAATAAACCTTGATCTCAAACCAGTTAGTTAGTCCTTTTTATTTGTTGTTAATAAATGTTATATTTTGTGCATTACAACTACCTTTATTTCAAATGGTTACACCTCTACACTATTGCCAATTGTTGTTAAACATTTCATTGACTGCTTGTTGCGGAACCACTGAATAACTGTTTCATATTACAGTATTTATTGTTACCCACATTTCGTTGAATATTCAATTCACTGATTAGGATCATTAATCTCAATAATTTCACACAGAGTTATTGTACTCATCTTTTACTCAAGCACAAGGACAGTACGAGGTTCATGTTTCATAATCTCTTCTTATCAAATGGGTAAATTAATTAGTTAATATTTTATCCACTCCTGCACTTTGCAAATCCTATCTTATGCATCCTTGAAAACTCAAACTCATACCTAATCTAATCAGCTACCAGTGCCCCGGGTGAGCAGTTGTCATGGTTACCACGCTTAATGGTGCTTGTAATCTCTATTTTTACATTGTCTAGCGCCTCTGGATTTACTAGACCGCTTCTGGGTACCTAAACGTTCTCCTCACTGGGATGCTATTCCTATTCTATTTTACTCTTAGCTGTATATGTCTGGCTCACATTTCGGCCTTTGTGAAAAAATAAATTACTGATGACTGAAGCACCATTAACGCTATAAATCTTTTGACATTTACAATGGAAGGATTAATTCTAATATCATGAATGTTTGTATATCCCATTGTATTTTAGTAAATTCTAATGAGACAGGCCAATTAGGCCTTTGGGAAATAAATTAAGCATGCCTATTCACAACAAACCTCATGACAAACTTTCACTTTTACTCTTTTGTACAGAATCAATAAATTACCTTCCAAAACAACCTTTGACTTCTGGAACCCGGCTAGTTTTTGAATGTCACAAGAGTCTCTGTTGGTGAAATTTCAATTTTGACTATGTTGCTCTGAGTAAACAATGATTTTACAGTATTACAATTGGTTACGATGATTACAAATGTTAGCGGTTTGTGAAATACAATTGATTTCACCACAAAAAATGCTACACAACGAAAACATTGAATTTTGATAACTATTGTTTCTCCCTTGATGAAAACTCCCAACTTCTAGCACCAGGCTGTATTTAATGTTACAATGCATTTTTGTGTAATATGAATAATATTGGTTTGGCAAAACTATGATGAATATGACTGTTATATATTTTATCCATATCTGATTGTTCTTTGTATTTGTTTATTTCAACAGATTGATTGTTTATTTCTGAATGTACTCGAAAATCGAACTGCAAACCATGAAGATATTGTTGCAATTGCAAATCTGCTTCCTAATGTTACAAAGTCATTGTGGTTGCGAGGATGGACAATAGCTGATGAATATACAGAAATATTGCAGAATCAATTGAATGAAATTGGATCTGAGGTTTGAAGTCCTTTCTGCGATAATCTAAATATAAAATATGAGACAGACATAAAATCAACGATTTGCGTAAAAACTGAAATAAACTGCAATTCTAAATTGTTCACGCTGAACCGAACACTTCAAAGTTTCATCAAAGTGTATGGTATTTCTATTGGCGTCATCTCAATTCTTTAAAGGAGTAATTAAAATATAATGTCATCGCAGTCAATGTGATTGTGTTGCACATATTCAATATTTGCTATATTTTAATTATGTTTATTTGTGCTTTAATAAAAAGAACAATTTCATAGTACATTTTTTTAGTTCCCAAAATATATCATTCATCTTGCTCTACTGCATAGATGATTAATTTTAATTTTTTTATCAAATGAAACCAATAACAAAAATTTTTCAATATCAAGGTTTTGTATCAAGATTCATTTGTGTTCGCCAAGCAAAAGTCTAAATTTGAAATGAATTTACCAATTTTTCACAATAATTTTTATTTTAATGAACCACCAAGTCACTAGACTGTCAGTTTAGTGAGTATAAAGTATGCAAATTTTGAAAGTTTTTCAATAATTGGAAGAATTCTTAATAAAATAAGCAGCACATTTATATAGTATGGTTTTATGGAAAAATGCATCAAATTTTAGCACTGGAATCATTAGATACCATTGTCTGTTTAAATATTGTTCTGTGTCCTTTGTGCTAATCTTGTATAAAAATTTTATTAATTACAGGTACTAGAGATTCGGTTTTCTAGAAGTACACTCAAAAGTCAAAGAAAGTCAGCAGATGCTACAACCAATGTTTTTTCTAAACAACTTCCAACCACAACTTCAGAAGCTGAATTTGGTAAGTTATAAATATGTTTTTTAAATTGAGTGGTGCTATGGTATGATGAGTACGTAATGGTCATCAAGTATTTTAGTTATGGTCATCAAGTATTTTTCATTTTTTGGGGATTTAATGTTAAATAAATATACTTTCATTGCTGCTGAATCTGGCATATCCTTCAACAGCATCTTGCAGTCTGTTATATAGCCTATTGTGATTCTTCAAACAGATTTTGTATTTTTATTACAAAGTTGTTACATTTGGTTGCAGAGCATTATTATGGATGGATGCTTGGCATACCAATCTGATTATCTTGCTCGGTTCACAGTTTCAGATCTTGGCGATAATTAAGTGCGAGAGGTTTGCTGAATTCCATGTCGTCAAATAGTGGTTCATGTACCCACTGGTTGATTGAGCTTCCTTCACCATCAAGTCCATGCATCTGAAACAAATAACTAGCTAATTAATCCCATACCCGACATGGACTGGTAACTGGACGAGAGGCCATGGTTCACTGTATAAGTCGCATTATTGATTTACCTTTCTTTTCCGGGTAAAATAGGAAATTCTATCATCATTTCTGATAAACGATGTTACATAGCTCAAAACAGAGTCTTAAATACGATCATTTTTTGATAATTATTTATTGTTCTTTTTCAGTATCACCATATGACAGATTTGAGAATACTGAAGAAAATGTGGAGACTTTACAAGAAATAAGAGGCCCCAGGTTAGATATAACACTAAATTATCAGGGAAAAAATCGCCGTACACGTACATGAAACTTGCTGCCTTTGGATAAAACTGAGTTTTGTGATCGTGCATTTTGTGCTTTTTAAAGTTTGTCAATATGTGCGCCTCAAGAAAATAGAATGCCATTGAAAAACATTCACACTTATTTATTTAATGAGAGATGTGAGGCAGTTGCTCTGAACACATCTTTTCAAAGCGAGATGTTATACATGTTATGCACATGCATTTCTCTCTCTATGTCCAAACGTAACCGGTATTTTGTTCTGATTGACACCTCTGCAGAAAACCCAGCTTTGCAGAGATAGGAGATTGCACTTGTAGCCATTTCAAACAAAATTCATATGAGTCATTAAAATCTGATGTCAAATTAACAAATTGCTCAGCTTTGCTTGTTGATAAGCATATATATTCATTTACACATCATTTAAAATGAGAAATAATAAAACATTTATAATAATTACAATATGTAGAAATTCAATCATATATCAGCTATGTTTAACACAATTCTGTTAATTTTCGTGTCGTGGGAACATCTGGCCCAGTGGTTAAAGTGTTGAACTTATTATCTATCACAGGTTAGAAATCATTGGTTTAAAGCCCATGCCCACCAGCTTACCTGGTGCACAATCTTTAACGCTGTGGGTGAGGGGAGAAGGGTTTTGAAATTGAGTAATAGGGGCTGTTATTTTAACCAATGAATCAAAATTAATACATTTTTATTCTCCATTTTTCTCTTCAGAAGTGAACTCCCACTGTCTGAAGAAGAAGCAGAACAACCAGACAAAGAAGTAACGGAACAACTTGCAAAGCCAACTCAGCATAGTAAGTCAGCCATATTAATAGAATCAGGTAGCGTTGAGCGATGCTAAATGCTTGTAATTATGAGGAAGTGCTGAACCATTGAGATGTTGGAATAATACAGGGGGGTGCAACATTTTTTGCCGGTGGGCCATATGACCAACTTCAGACATCTAGCTAGGCCAGACAATTAATTTAGTTTTTCCATAAACATGAAGAATTGGAAAATTCCCACAATAAAGAATCCCATTAATGTAAAAGGGGGGGGGGGGGGAACAGGTTGGGGGGGGATTAATTTGAATGCTAACAAGCGCCACACTGAACAGCTTGACGGAACGGTTTATGGCCCACGAGCCACCTGTTGCACACCTCTGAGATAATAGAATCTGTCCTCAACCAAATTTTCGCACAAATAGTAAGGTTTGGCAAATCAACTGCCAAACTGGACAAATATAACCCACTCCAGGTTGGAGAGGATATCAACTCCAGCTCCAAACTACAAGGAAATCAAATTTTGATTATATTTAATTGCCGTTTGCATGCCTTTTCAATAGCATCCATTAGGAACGGTTGTCCACTTCATGTTTTTGAGTTTCAGTAAAAAATTCAGGAAAGTCTAAAATTACCGTATTACCCAGATAATTTAACATTTCAACTTCTACTCCTGACTTTGAGTTTGAAAATACCACTTCAGCTCCAATTCCAATGAAAACATTTCATCCTGCTTTTAGCATATATCGCTAACTGAATCCTAAATTTCCTAATAGTTGCACATGAATCTTTGTATTTCGCTTTTGCTTGAAAAAGTCACTCGCAGTTGTTTTATTATAGGCCTGCTTTATTGATTCAAAAATATCTGAATTGCTACTCACTACTATTTTATATTTGTATGAATTGCCCAGAAATAATTTTAAGTTCACAGGTTATATTGAAAATGTTTTTATTGAAGTATGCTAAGTCGAAATATTCATTTATAGCTTTGCCGCAAATTGAAAATGTTTCGTCTCAAAGAAGTGGATCCGACATTCTCTTGACTTGGAATGAAGTACCTGACAGAAACGTTCTATACAACATAGAAATCTTCTTTGATGATGTGAAACTTGGAGAGACTCACACTACAGAGGTTCCTCAGTATAGAATGAAGTCACCTACACTTGGTAAAAAATATCGTTTCCAAGTCTGGGCCAAAGATGAATTGGGAAACTCTGGCATCAAAACACAGTCAAAGAATGTTATCAAATGTAAGTTATGGCCATTAATTATTAAGTGAAGTAGAAGCCTCATAATTCAACTTGTTCGTTGTTTTAATAAATAGTCGGTGAGTGTATCTGCATGGTGGCGGCCCATCATCATTGCTATAAAAATATCAAGCATTTTCATTCTGAAATTCACTTATTAGTGCAATTTGGGTTAGACAATGTTGTTTCAAACACATATTGATCGGTCTTCTGTGGGCCTTGGTAGCAATGTTGGGGGGACTCGAGTAACTCACTCATTCGAACTCGAATAACAGCCATAGCAACTTTACTTAAGACTCAAAAAAAAATTTTGAACAAGTATTTGGAATAGCAAAAAATCAATTAAATATGAATTGCCACACATATCAATGCTGTATATTTGTAATGAGAAGAAGGCTAATTAGGCTACTTACATAAAATCAGTGGTTCTAAATGACATTTTTTCGAAATGAAAATGATTTACATCCGTTGACCAAGGCACAGTGTTTTCATTCTACCATTTGTGGTAGTTCATGATTTGTTCACTTACACTCAACTGCACTATGTCAAACTGGCACCCCCGAAGTATGTGAACCAAGATACACCGGAACGTTGTATGTGTACCAGGTTAGGGTTAGGCCATATTTTTATTATACAATTTTTTTTTTTTATTTCTATTATGAGTTCGGGGACTAGCCAAGTGACTCCCACAGTATTTGTACCGGGAATTATGGCTTTATCCTAACCTGGTACACATATTGAGTTCTGGGACTAGCTAAGTGACTCCCACAGTATTTGTACCTGGAATTATGGCCTAATTTCGACCTGGTACACATATTGAGTTCGGGGACTAACCAAGTGACTCCTGCAGTGTTTGAACCTGGAATTATGGCCTAATCCTAACCTGGTACACATATTAAGTTCTGGGACTAACCAAGTGACTCCTGCAGTATTTGTACCCGGAATTATGACCTAATCCTAACCTGGTACACATATCGAGTTCCGGGACTAGCCAAGTGACTTCCACAGGATTTGTACCCGGAATTATGTCCTAATCCTAACCTGGTACACATATTGAGTTCTGGGACTAGCCAAGTGACTTCCACAGTATTTGTACTTGGGTGCTCCCGAAGTATGCGAACCAAGATGGCGGACATCGGAACGTAAATTGGGTAACAGGTTAGGGTTAGGCGATAATTTTTTTCCAATTTTCCTTATTTTAGTCCTATTATCAGTTCGAAGACTATCCAAGAGCCTCCCATAGTATTTATACTTAAAATTATGGCCTAACCCTAACCTAGTAAACCATATTACATTCCGATGTCCGCCATCATGCTTCGGGAGCCCCTGTACTTGGAATTATGGCATAATCCTAACCTGGTACACATATTGAGTTCTGGGACTAGCCAAGTGACTCCCACAGTATTTGTACCTGGAATTATGGCCAAATCCTGACCTGGTACATATATTGAGTTCGGGGACTAACCAAGTGACTCCTGCAGTATTTGTATTTGGAATTATGGCCTAATCCTAACCTGGTACACATACTACGTTACGGTGTCCGCCATCTTGGTCATGCTTCGAGAGTACTGAAAAATTTATGCAGAAACCACTATTTTACTGGCTCCGAAACACCATCCTCTTCCTTTGAATGTAATTAATGAAAATATATCGTGCTCTTGTCACACAAGCAATCTAAATTTATGGAACCGAATCATTTTTCTATACCTGAATGTGGATACGTTGTTCCATACCTAATGGACCTGGGAAAAAAAAAATCGAAAATTCTAACCCAATACACAAGAATTGCACTAATAACTTATGTTAACAAATATTATGTCGCATTTCCAGTGCTAGCAAGCCCTTCCTACATTTTGCCTTCTTTACGCCAAATGTTCAAATGACAGTTAAATTAGAGCTGAGCCTGCTGTGATTTATGTCCAAGTACCCATTTCCTGCTCAGCTACTTTTTGCATTTTATTTCAGTAATTAGCAATCTTCTCATTTTGTAGGCAATGACATTCTTTTTCTAATGGGCTTCCTGCATCTGAAACAAATTACTGGTTAACTATTCTCATAGCGGACATGAACCGGTGATCGAACAAGGGCCGTGTTTGCCATGCGATTGAAACGTCTTATACACTTTCCTTTCATCGCGATAAATATGGAACTCCTAATGACATTGGAAGAGTTCTTTAGATAACTTTGAAACCACCTGTTATAATTCATTTTTTGTCGCATTATAAAACAAATCTATTTTTTTAGTGGTAAACGTTGAAGTTGCCGGCGGCTCCATGAGACTGAATGAATGCAAAATCACATTTCCTAGGGGAACTTTCAACAAACAAACAAAGGTCTGGATATCGGTTGGAATAGACAATTCAATATGTCCAGAAGCATACAATGGTATCACATCAGTTTTCGATATCAGCGCAGATTCCAAATTCCTCAAAGATGTGATCGTGCAAATTCAGTCATGGTGCATGGGTCTAGAGAAAGACAAAATTGACATAATACATTTTTTCAACTAAAACTGACTGGGACATTATTATTCCTGATCGAATCACAGAGGATAACAGCATAGAATTTCGATGCAGAAAGTTTAGTCTGTTCACTGTCGCCATCGAGTGGTTGAAGTGGCTACTTGGTAGGCAAGAGGTTATCATGGACAACTGTCTCTATATATATAACAGAAACAAATTTTATTTCACTTTTTTTGAGAAAAGTGAGACTGCTGAAACCAATATCAGATGTCATTACAGAGAACTAGGGGCACGTCTTGCTCCAATTCGGTTCAATCCATTCGCTTTGAAAACTAGTGACAGACTTCGCCTCGAGTTACAGATTGATCAAGAAGATTTACAATTCAATATGCCCCACGGACAATTCATTTGCGACAGAATATTTCTAGCAGCCCACAAACGTGAATTAACATTTCGTCTTCTTCCTACTTTACAAGAATATCCTGAAAGACTCATTGTTTGCCGAATTTTGATAAATGACGTTTTGCATGAAATGCAAGACTTTGATTTTCCATTAGTCCCTTTAGGTAAGTAATACTGGGAAGAGGCCTGTATAATATGCAGTGTTCAATAATGTCCAAGTTATGACTCTGCTACTTAAGCTAGTGGTTCTTCAAAAATTTGTTATCGTCTTGTTCAGGTTTTGTTTAGGAGGCCCGCGACAGAATTAAAAATGAGTTTTTAGGCATTGCCTAAGCTCAGGTTTCGCATTGAGTAAAATTCCGTCTGTTCTTTTTGTGTTGTGTATTTGGCACCTCGACTTATTTTAGCATCTGAAAAAAATGTTAAAGGTGGCTCGTGAAGTAAAACTCTACGTGAAAGTGGGCCGCGATATAAAAAAGGTTGAGAAGCACTGGTTCAAGCTGAGTAGAAGGATGTAAAATTGAAGTTTATTTTTCGAATTTTTGTTTAATATTCTTATAATCATAAGTCTCTTACATTAGCTGTGCATTATCTTGAGAACCTACTCACCATAAGACCATCTTCAGTTTAATTATACTAAGACCAAAAGCAATCATTATAATAAATTTTTACATTAATTAAACATCTTTCTATTCTTATATTCTTAGAGGGAGGAGGACCTCCACCTGTCAACTTTGCTGGAGCAAATATCGGAAATGTGAATCTACCTGGAAATCATAACAATCAGCAAATGGTGAGATTTAATTGGTATTTCTCTTAATTGTATTTTTATTGTATTTCATGTAATAAGTAGGTTGGGCAAGTCAACCTGACAAAAACTCAATGTCGATTTAAATTTAGCCTCTCTTGGCATCTCCCTGAATAGCGCCTTGTTTGGAGAAAATATGTGGCTTATCATATAGGGATCCGAAATCAAACTTCTTGTCAATTTATACTTGGTGACTTTGAGAATGTTTAACATGGATTTTAGTGTTGATAGACAGTTATATTTTATGGTGATAGCAAACCCTCATAGGAACTATGTGATATCGAGACCACTATTTCATATGGAATATCCTGACCTTATAATTAATTGATATTATTCTGCGCTTTATAACACTGTCAATAAGTCACTGTCAATAAGTGGTCTATGTCATATAGTTGATATGAAATATTTGTTTTAAGGGGCAAAATGAACAAAGACAACCTGGTGCAGTTGGTGGAAACCAAGCAAGAGAACCACAATTGAATGAACCACTACAACATGAAAGTGATAACGGTAGGTGAAATGCCACCGCCATAAGCATTTTTTCAATCTCCCCAAATTAGTATTTTCTCAAATCATACTAAACCAAAAGTCTCTGATAAGCTGGAATAATTATTGAAGTCATTTTAGATGAAACAATGACACATTTTGTCTGCATGATTCATATCTTCTGGATTCGTATTTTGGATATGTGTACTGTACTGTGAGAAGTGTACTTCCCAGGTTCTCTTTGGGGGAGTTCTGGGGAATTAGAATGGATAGGAACTTGTGAAATGCCCAGTGTGCCAAGGCGATGTTATATATTTGTGGACGATCAATGACCCCTAAAATTGTAATATGTTTGCAGGAAATTAGCCAGGTTTTCCCTCAATTTCATTTGTGATAGTTGCCTTTCTAATGCCTTATACAAACAACACATAGAAAATTGTTGTGATATTTCTCTACTGAGCTCATTTTTGCAATCAAATTATAAAGTTTTCAACTCCAGCTGAATAATAATTTTTTTTCAGATTCCGATGATCTTTGCTGAAAAAAATGAGAAGTTTCCTAGACTGAACACATTCGAACGACATTGCTAAGATACAAATGTCGCATGGGCATGTCGCATAACGTTAAACTCCAACAACCTTGGACTGAATGCCTAATGATCCTGCAGTTCATACCCATCATCCTGCAACATATTATGAACATGCACATGTAGTGAAGGGATAAAATATTGAAAAAATTAATTCACAAAGACTGTTTTCTAAATAGTCAAATTTTTCAGTAGTAATGGAATTTAAGCAAAATTTTATAAATCTTTTTCATGTGAAATGTTTATTGAAATTTTGAGAGTAGCAAATCAGTTCATCATTGTAGGTTCATAGGCTTGTATTGCGGAGACGTATAAACTGACTCTTAGTGATATGTGCCATCCTGTCACAGTGACGATTTCTGCACATTCTCTTGCTTACAATGAGTCCTCACTACATTTGATCCCATAAGCTCACAACAATAATCTTTGGTGTTTCAGGCAGCCATTACAACATTTGGGCACCCGAAGTTTCTGTACCAGGGCATTTTCCCTTTGCTTTACTTTGCCTCACTTAATCCCCACATTGGTACAAATAATTCTGGAGCACCCAATATTTAATAATTTACAGCATTTTGTGAAATTCTCCATTAAATGCTGATTTGCATGTATTTTCATTTGTTTCATACGATTCCTTGTTATTTGATGAATTTCAAAATTAGACTGAGTGCTGCATTAATGCTTCAGCTTTTATGTACTATTTTTTAGTGAGCCACAACAAACTCACTTTGAGCTTTTCCATACATCGGTTTTATATCGACTAGATTCAGAAATTTTAAATGTTTGTAATTTTTATGGTATGTCATTTTCATTATTTACTTCAGGTTTCAAGACTTTTTAATTTTTCATGATTGACAAATACTGTACATAATCTTGCTGTATTTGAATCACCCTCGATCCTTCTTGTTGTCTATAGGCTTTCTTTGTAACCTCACATTTGATTATATTTTAAAATATAAAAAATAAAAAAACAAAAAAATCTATAAAACTATAAGTAAAAAAAATTTCCAAGTTATTAACCTAATCGTAACTGCCATTTTTTTATTTTGTGTGAGTCAGGTTTTTAAATTTTCAATGTGATAGAACCGGGCTCCATGCCCAAGAGCCTGATTGCCTACAACTAGAATTTTGTGAGTTAAATTCTGTTCGGATCTTGTGAAGTTTAATTCTGTGTGAAAGACTAGCAGAATCCAACTGGTAGGTTGGTTAAAAAAATCGACCCATATTTTACTACCAACTATTCACCTTAGTTAGTGTTTGAACGGAAGGGCATCATTCATCATATAGCTAAAGCTAAGGAATTTTATTTTTATTCCTTCGTAATGAAGAGGAAAAATTAATCCAAAACCAAGTACTTGAAATTGCCATTTTTCGATAACCTGAATGTTTATTACGACAAGACTTCCATGGTGATGCTGGCAGCCTTGGCTATCAGAGTATCAAAAAGTGAATGATGTCGAATGGATAAGCAGCAATGCATCTTCTAGAACTTTAGTTTTTGGCAGTTCGAAACGACTTTTGCGAAACGTCAACCGCTATATGTAGCCTACCTGAAGAAGGAATAATGTAGCGGCAGATCTCACCCTTAAATGCGGTAGACGTCACGCTAAAGTCGCATGTGACAATGATTAGTGCAGGGTTTTCCTAACTGTGTGCCGCCACACACTAGTGGGCCGCCAAGGTCTTGAAAGTGTGCCACATATTTTCACAAAATTCTTGAGATTTTTTCGCAATAATTAACGATGCGACATGAACTTTATTACATTGCAATCAGTAATAGATGTAGTTCGGTACCACACATATTATAGGGTGACCCAAAAAACGAAACCCAGTCCATTTGGAACATATTGTATGGATTTCGTTTTTTTGGGTCAACCTGTATAAAGATTTATTATTCATTGTCCACCGATAGGTGATGTAATATGCCACACTTCTCTAATATCTGAATATATAAGGTGTTAAGTTTTCAACCTCAACCCAACAATGCAAGTTTGCTCAAAGCAAAGTCGCTAGACTCTAACTAAACAATCTCTTTCAAACTGTCAGCAGTTAAGAAATTGAAGAGACTTTTAGAGCGATATTAATCTTATAATTTTTGACATGTCATGTTTTCACATTTAATTTTTCACATGAAATATTTGGAGTTCTCAATTTTACCACAAATTTCGCCATGCAAATTTTCTGTCAGTACAACATATGCAATACAATATATATAATACAACAAAATATTTTTCACATTTCTATGATATTGCATATATTAATTTTCTGCACTGACAGAAACGATAAAGACTTATTGTTACAATTGACCCGCAAAATCTTGTTTTAATCTTATTCAATGTCGAAACGCATAATACTAATGGATAAGTTTTTGATAAAACTGATTTATATTAAGTGTGCCACGACTTTTTAAACTTGTTGTTAGTGTGCAGCAAGCTGAAAAAGTTTGGGAACCCCTGGATTAGAGGACTCTAGCTCTGCCTTTACAAAGTTGAGATACGCCTCGTTAGGCATGTCCTACCGTTAAGCAGTAATCAATGATCAACTTTTATATTTGGATTTGGTGTAGAGAGAAAATCCAATAATCATATGGCGAACCGTGGACTCTTGTTGGAGAAACAGTACATGTCCAAGGAGCTTGACCCTATGGCATCAGGTCATCAACATTTACATTTTTTGGAATCTTGAACTTTCATATCTATCCTGGGGAAGGGGAAAACTGATATTACAACTTAATCATATGGCTATCCACGTTCTCTCATCCGCTTACCAGTCCATGACAGGTATGAGAATAGTAAGCCAGTTATTTGTACAAAGCTCATGGACTTGTGGCATCTAATAGGTCAACACTTTGGGTGTCGCTGCTTGATAACCATTTTTGGTTCTCCGCGACTCCTCTTCTTGATATTCAATATGGGTATTCAATATTACTCATTAAACATTGTATATTATTTATACTGGATGGGTAAAACAAACTTGACTATGCCATACCGATACCGCGGCCGATTGGCCTGTTACCAATCCATGTCAGGTATGGGAATTGTATAAGTCAACCAGTTATTGGTTTCAAATGCAGAATAGAGCAGATGTGATTGAACGTGGAATATTTCTTTAACTGGAAACTACGGGGGTTGACTATCACAGGCTGAAACTGATGGAAAAGTTCAAAGGTCGGGGATCAGAATTTCTATGTGCGCTGGCTTCAGTGAGCAAAAGTTATCCAGGTATACACTAGGTGGCAATAGAGAACAAAAAAAATCGCTAACACGAACTTTAAACTATTTGTCAATGACTACAAGAACATTCTTTATAATTGTACCGTATACTGGGAATTTTTTGTGCAGTACATTACAAAATGTAATGTTGTCCATTAACAAGTGTTCATTTTGATAAACAAGTCAATAGTAAACTCGACTTCAGATTATTCAGCCGCGTGGAGGCAACATGCAGCGTATCTATGTCGACTAGATTTTAATTTCCGGTAAATAGCGTTTTTTATTTACAAATTTAATTGCTGGTATTACGGTATACCGTTATCGTCCCCGTTTTCTGATCTGTGTTCTTCGTTTCTGTTTACCTTAGGTTAGGCTATTGCACCACCTTTCTGGTCAAAAATATCAAGTATTTTGTGGCGTCTAGAGCTTCCGCAAAACCATGGCGGGATTTCCAAACCATGGCCGCTAAGACCAAACCCTAACCTACGGCGACTGACTTTTTAGCTGTCACAAACCAATAGCGAGCGGCGGTCATTACCATACGACAGCAAATCAAATATCACCAATTTTGCTGCCGTAACCACGGCATGTCGTTTGTAATAGCAGGGCTGCCCCTGAGGGTGATAAATGTTGGATGATTTGGAACGCCTTCCTTATGAATACAGTTTTGATGTTTTTGGGGTTAGGTTTGGGTTTAAGTAGATATAATTTCGCATGTAGGAATAAAATATTGTACATGACTTTGTAAACATACCGGTAATAGTGCGATAAAACCATGGCAAGAGACGTGACGGTACGTTTGTGGCAGGAGCTGCCATGAAGTGGTAAGAACTGCGACTCCCGTACCGGTAGGCCTACTAGAATTGTTGAGATACTTAGGATAGGTTAGGCATTAACATATTTATGCCGGGGGAGAGGAAAGCCGATATACTGCTTAACCATATGGCAAACCATGGCCTCTCATTCGGTTACCAGTCCATGTCGGGATCATATGGGATTAGTTAGACAATTATTCCGAATGCATAGACTTAATGGTAAAGGTAACTGACCAGCGGTTATGTGAACCACCCTACAGCGGTGAGGAGTCCAGCAATCTTTTCAAACATAATTATCCTCCACAGGATAATTAAGCGAACTTGCGAACCTATTGAAATTGTTTACCAGTTATACTTACCTACCGTATACCTGGCTAACTTCGGAGGCCTTGTAATTTCGGATAAAGTTTTCAATCGTTTGTCATATTGTGCTTCTGGCAGTTTCTATAGTGAGTCCTTATATATCTAAATCTGTTATCATATTCAATCGCGCAATTTAATTCATTTTTTGATTAAAAAAATCATGTTTCACGATAAAACTGACCTTCCGTTTTCGAGCGGCTCAAATCGTGACTTCTACTGATGCTAACTTCCTCAAACTGCTGTCTTTCGATAGAGGGCGATAACAATATATATAGAAAATTAGACTGATCTCAAAATGTCGCAGAAGACTTGAGAAAAAATATAAATTCAAATATTTTTTTATTATCAAAATAATAGCATCTGACGCCCCAGTTGAACTTGACGTCATGTTGCGGCACCATTATAGATTTGACGCCAGACTTTCGGGCGCCGACGATTTGGCGTGATTTGAAAATAGCAACAATATTTTGTTTGATTGGATCAACATCGACAATTTTTAATTCCTCCATTTGGAACGGCAGCATGGTTCGAAATAGAAAAATTGTGAGCAGTCGTGAAATACTGCGTAATTATAAAGTATATAACCAGCGAAAAATTGAGTTCCGTTTCATGAATTTAACAGAGGATTACATCAATGTAATATATTTCAAGTTTGACGCGAATCCGACAACAAATGGCTGAGTAATTGATTGAATTATAGTGAAATCATCCGAAGTTAGCCGGTTTTACGGTACTTCTTTTGAGGCAAAATACTGTCTCCACATTCCTTAAAAGATGGACATATGCGAGAATTCAATGCCTATAGCAGCTGTGATATCATGGGTGTAAGATCAAGGATTTTGATTCAAAAGGCAAGTTCATAAAAATCGGCACGTGTGCTTTTTCTGTTCTGCGTGCTTTTCCTGATTAATATGACCATCAATATAAAGTGTTATGCATATTTCTTTGTTTAAACCAGAAAAAAGTCAAGAACAGTATAATTTACCAGTAAGATATGAACTTGTTGTAACCCTGCAGGTGGTCACGAGACGCGCAAAAATCCATGGGCCGCAGAGATCTTTTCCAATATTTTGAGCTTGGGGCCAAGATGACTTTTTTATTGTAATATAAATTCATTTCGTTTGAGGCGTTGATCAACTGCAGAGGCATTTATATGATAAACCCGATGAAAAAAGAAGCTTGATTAAAATGGTGATTCTACTTCACAGTTCAGATTAAAAAAAGAATCACTGTCACAATTTTAATTATATATTTGATAACGAATACCCATTGCTAAGTAATAGTGCTACCAAACTGTTGTCCGTATTTTCAACCAGTTACCTATGCGTTATGCGAAAGAATCAGCTGTACACTGCTCCAGAGCTACATGTTTGCAATCCTATATTGGAAACGAAACAGCAGCTGAACTCTCACTAGACTTAATTGTGTTTGTACATGATTTGGCATGTACATGTTTTTATGTGAAATGTTTTGTATGTGCATGTTTTATATGTGCCTTTCTTACGCATAGTGGGTGCCCAGCACTGCATTTCATTAAGTAAATATATGGTATTATTTTATGTTTCACCCATTACAATTTTTGGCCAGCACATTATTTCATAATTTTTCCTCATGTGAAATGTTTTTAAGTGTACCTATTTTTGTCTAAATTTTTAGAAGCATGTTGAGGGCCCAGCATTGCATTATTCAGCGCAAATATATGGTAGTATTTTCTGTTCTGGTCCTTTCATTTTTTTGCCGGTCCACGAGTACATTTTCTTAATTTTACCAGTTCGCCAGGTTGGGAACCACTGATCACAATTACTGACATAGCGGAGTCTAACGCTTGAACTACTAAGCCACTGAGGCTCATTAAAATAAAACTGATCTAAATGATTATTTTATTCTTCACAGGCTCGGGTGTTATCTTTAAATCTGGGGTAAACAAAGAGTCGATGCACGCGATCGAGAAAGCGGCGTTTGTGGTTGTTTTGGACGATGAATCCCATGTGTTAGACGTTGATGACATGTTCGGACTAGCGCTGTTGCATAGAAAATGCCATAACAGGTGATTGAATTTTATTTTAAGTAATTTTTTGAGGGGGAAGGTCACGTTCTGAATTTGGCCTTATCACTCTTGGACTAAGGTTTAGACAAGCTATGATAAAAAGCTATGATGATATTTTTCCACAAAGTATCTCATAACAATTTTTTCTGTTCTGTTTCTAACCCTAACCTGGTACACACACTATGGGAGTACCACATTATGTGCGAGTAAATGCCCGGGCTGTGAATTATGCTGGAGTAGAGGCTTAGTTTGGCAAGTTTACACTGGTATCAGAGTTTGAGCCGTAGCCGGGAATCAAATTTTTCTGAGTCATGACATGACAGGCCCCAACTCATCCAGGTTGCAATAAATTAAGTATGCAATGCTGAACTTGGGAGTTCTTAGTCCTAAAATTTTATCTCTTTAAGCGAGACCATGGCAGCCTTTCGCCTAAAAAAACTTGTCTCTGGGTATTTATATAGGGCCTTGTTTGTTGTGACTGCTAGACGATAATAAAGAAATAAATTCTATTCAGATGGTTGGACAAATCTTTCCAAGTTATTTTCTACAAAAACAGGGGGTGATTCGGAATGAACGCGGAACATTCCTGGGCTGACGCTCAGATTATGAGTCACCTTACAGAAGAAGTCTTGTACGATGAGTTTGCGGTTTCTGACGGTACCTGCGTCAGAGAATTAACTACAACCCCCCTTTCTCCTCAGCAATTAAAATGAAACATTCCAAAACTTGTAAGGGAGCCATGATCTCATAATCTCATTTTTCGCTATTCAGTGGTTCCCAACCTTTTACGGCTCGTGGTCCCCTTCCAGAGGTGTCCAGCACTCACAAGCCTCCCTTTTTATCATTTCAGTGGTATTTATAGTGTTATTTTGATTGGTAGTTTTCAAATCCCATTATGATCAAACAATTCATGCTCCACAAAGTGAAAACACCCTGTGGAATAACCTTATCGAGCAATGAAACTAGGAAGAATATTATTTTTATGTACGGTAATCATTTTTGCACATATCATTGTGGCCACCAGAAACTGCTCTGTGGCCTCCAGTTGGGAACTGTTGTGCTATACATTACCATTTTTTGCTTGGTAGCGCTGATTTTACACAGGGTTGAATCAGTATCCTAACAATTAATTTTTCTTTATACAGTGCATTGACGTCATTTAATCAAGTCTGAAGATTGCAAAGCTTTTGTCTGATGACGTAGAATTCCACATGTTCCCGTTTCGTAAATTCGGAAAAGGATTGATCAAAACTTTCCGAATGTCTCCTGATGCTTTGATCCAATTGTCTCTTCAACTTGCACATTTCAGGGTAAGAGAAATTTTTTCAAATTGAAAATATATTTTAAATTAGGGGTGTGCAACATTTTTTGTTGGTGGGCCATATAACCAACTAGAGCTCGATTGATATCACTTTTTGCCGCCGATACAGATATTGATATATCAGCCAACTAGTGGCCGATAATAGATACGGATATTGATATAAATTATATTGTGAGCCACAAAATGGGCTTTTATGATGTACCTCATGAGTACATGTAGTTTCATTTTGATATTTAATGAGACCTCTACGACGGGTCGTATCACAAACTTCAGATATCTAGCTGGGCTGCATAAAACATTTAGTTTCTCTCATTATAAATATTATTTATTCAACAATTGAAATTTCGAGTTCTTGCATAGTTGTTAACATCTGCTTTGAAGGCTTTTGTATAGCATTACAGTAATAAAGGCAGCAGGTAAAACGGCGAAAGACCACCATGTGTTTTGCAATGTAACTAAAACATTTTTTTTGTTCATACATAGCAATTTTGCGTAACTTAACGTATGTTAGACCCTCAAATTTCTAGTCTAGTTATAACAGGGGTGGCCATGGTTTTTAGACCAGGGGCCAGAAATTTTGCCAATCGAGACTGCAGTTCATGTTAGTGAGACATAAAAAGTTACATTTTATGAACAATATTCAGTGTTACAATTAAGCAAAAAGTGGAGAACAATAAGCCTCGTGCTAAAAATAAATATATTTGCATACTCAACAAATTCCTTGAGCTATTTTTTGCTAAAACATCCAAATTTAGTTTTAGTTTGGCTGTGACATCATTAGACGGGCCAGATTGAATTACCCAATGGGCCGGATTTGGCACGCGGGCAGTAGTTTGCCCATGTCAGCTCGAAGACTCTTGAAAACCCACATTTTCAGGCCAGGCGGAGCTGCTAGCTGTTACGGCCTCATCAATTAGAAATTTCCAGTCTAGTTACATATATATTTCATAACTTGACCATAAAAAAGATCAGACCGCTTCCTCATATTTCTTCCCTTTTGAAATAAAAGAAAATCATCTTTATTACAGGTCAAAGGTCATTTCAGTTTGACTTACGAAGCCTCGAAGACGAGATTGTTCCGAGAAGGGAGGGCTGAAACTGTTCGTTCATGCATGACTAGATCCTGCGCTTTCGTTCGCGCCATGGAAGATTCAGAACAAACTGTAAGTTTAATATTTTACTAAACCCAGTTGTGCTCAATGCTCATTAGAGCGTGTAGTAGACAGAATAATGTAGTTATAGTAAACAGGACTCGATGCTGTTATTTCTTGGCTCAATTTAGATGGAATAGTACGAACTATTTGTGTTGTAATTTAGGTTAACTAAGACTTTCAAGTTATGTAACTGTTAACAAAGCTTTGTTTTCTCACTCTCTTGATTCGACAATGTGCTTTTCACAACTCCTTCGCACGCGCGTCCTCTAGTTTCAATTTAGTGTCGAGATGGTTTTGTTAATGTCCCAATAACACTCTCTTTAAATTTTTTTTCTATTCTGTTCATCCTTCTTTTATTTGAACGAGTGTTCCCACTTTTCAAATCTTTCTATAACGTTTTGAATCAGTTTTCCCTATTTCTAATGAATTTCTTCTTTTCAGAATAAAGACAGAATTGCTCTTCTGAAGAAAGCTACTGAACGCCATGTATCAGGATATAAGGAGGCAATGACTGGTAGGTCATTGCGGTATTTAGAAACATTTTCTTATCTTCAATTCGAACTCAGTACCTACAAGCCACTGGCTATATGAGGCAAGGGCATTGGGATTTGGAAGTCGTCAACCCCCCCCCCCCCCCCCCCAATAGAAATTCTGATGTTCTACTTTCATCATCTTTTGTTCAAATTAACCCTGCACTTTTGTTAACCAGCCATAACTATCATTAAGTTCCTCACACATGTTAGATCATCAGATAAAATGTCATGAAGAAGGGTATTTTCATTTTAACCCTGCACTTTTAGTCATTCAACCATGACAGTCTTTATATTGCTTTGCACCCTTCATTATTAGTTATTAAAGCATGTCAATTGTCATCAAATTTTTCATGAGGTCAAAAGAAGTTTTAAAAAGTTTTTCCAAAAATTGCAAATTGCACTCATGGAAATAATAATTTATTTGTTAGTCACAATGTACGTATTTTCAAAACCATTAAAGGCATTATATATTTTGAAATCAGAAATTTATTTTCCTATTCAACTCGAACTGAAACAAATTTTTCAATGTTTGTATACCCAGCAAACATTTGTTCCCTCTGTGACAGCAGCAACTTGTGAATTCAGATATTCTTGTGACCCTTTGAATTTGCGCATAGTTCCACATCAATCTTGGTTCATTTCAACCCTGTATTTTTACTTATTAGACCGTGACTCTTTCTAGTTGAATCTGATAACGACTAACAGTTTGCAATAAATCTTTCTTGGGTTTTTAATTTCATTTTCATTTCAACCCTGCGTTTTTAGTCATCAAACCATGACGCACATTGCAAATTGATAGCCCCTTTATTACACCCATAGGTTGTGACTCATTATCCTTTCAAAAAACATTGTTTTAAAATTGAAAAAGGGAGGGGAATCCCATTTTTGCATGTAGTCATACACGAATATCACATTTTTTTCATAGAAAAAAGAAAGCCTTTTTTATCTTCAAGTTTCTCTAAAAAGTGTTTTCATGCTGTGTATCTTTCTTTTCGGTACTCCCGTAGTATGTGTACCAGGGCAAATACCCTAATATTTTATTGAGTCATAAGATTATTTTATGTTATGTCATTCGCGAGGTTTAGTCCGCGAGTCATTAGTATTAGCAAGCTGTTAATACCCTTTTCTTACTTTCCCCTTCCCTTAGTTTAGTAATTTCAACATTTCCATGGGTATCGGTTTCTTCACATAATATAACATATTGGTACATACACTTCTGGAGCGCCTTCTTCTCACTGTTTTCAGTAATCTTAAATCTAATTTCCAAGTTTTCTGTCACAATAACTCCCAACTTTAGTAAGTCTGTCTGATGGCAATTTAACCAAATTAGGTATGTCACATTTTAAGGTTTTGTAAAAATCACATTTTTGTAATACTTTGATTGTAACAACCAAAGCTGGAAAACTGGACATATGGTCCCTACCCCTACCTACGTTTTCACCGTGGTGCGAAAAAGTGGAAATTAAAAAAAATATGACGGGAAGTGTAATAGTGTGGAGTCAAGCCTAAATATGTAAATGTGAGTGTATGTTACACGTTGAAGACATAAACTGCTCTAGTTTTTCTGCTGTGAATTCTGTAAATTTTACCCTTCTTTAAATATGTTTAACTATGAATATTAATAATATTAACGTCTGCCGGGAGAATTCAAGTTTTTTTGGCTTTTTTTCCTAAAAACATTTTTTCTTCGTGCGTTCTAGATATGGCCAAGTGTTACATCATTATCACAGTTTAATGAGCACGTGTATATTCAAAACAATTCAATTATACCGGTATCTTAAATATATGTATCGGTACCGGTTTCGATTCCTTTGCGGGTGCTCTTCTCTCCTGACCCACAAATATCCTTCCGCTTCTAATTTGGCCCACGGTCATCAACTTCGGGAACCACTGGTCTAAACCTGATACCCTAATATTTCAAATCTAATCTGAAAAGTATCTTCAAATATTCTCTGGGTTGTGCTTTTAACCATTTGTATTAACGCTCACCTTTCGATCTAATTTACTGTTTGTACGAGGTTGCTTTTTAGTTTTGATGTTGTATTGTGATGTAACTATGATTGTGTAACATAGTGCGAAGATTTTCATTTTTGATATATTTTGATGTCATAATATGGTATTATATAATATGTCATAATATGGTATTATTCATCTTCATGATTTAAAAATCACTCTCAACCACAAGTCCACATCACTTTGTTTTATTGTGACATCATATATTGATTCATGACATCATAATTTGAAATTAGATGCTTGGTGAAGCATGTATATCTTTTCATAACCTGACTTTGTCTCTTTAAATGATTTATATTTTTTCATTGTGACATCATATATTGACTTATGACATCATAATTTGGGGGTAGGTGCTCGGTGAAGCGTGGGAACTGTCAACATCCCAGACTGCAGTTAACCAAACTGATCGTATCGACCATTATAAAGATTTTCACACTGACTTGACACCACAAGGGGGAGGATTTGGTCCGGTGAGTCTAATATGACATCATCAAGCGTGTCATAATAAACTGGCTGTGATTGGCTGTTTGTCTAATCATCACCTATGCATGATATTACTAACACCCTTGTTTGCATATTTCTCTGTCTTAATTTTTAGTTTTTAATTTTTTGTAATTCTACGGAACACGTGATTGCAACTATGATCGCATTTTTTTAACCTAATTTGCGATTTTCTGTTTCAGTCAGGTAGGTCAGTCAGTCAGGTAGGGGTTGAAGTCAACAATCAATGAAGGGGGGGGGGGGGTATTTGTTTGTGTGAAAACTTTTTGCGAGGGCATTCAACTTCCATATCTTCCCCCCAAAATTCCTCCGTGTTTGTTAAATCCCAGTATTGGTCATGCAAAAAGTTTTCACATAGAACACATGGTACTCTCGAAGTATGTGAACCAAGATAGCGGACACCGGAACAAAGTATGTGTACCAGGTCAGGCCATAATCTCAGGTACAAATACTAAGGGAGTCACTTAGCTAGTCCCCGAACTCGTAATAGAACTAAAATAAGGAAAATTAAAAATCATGGCCTTACCCTAACCTGGTACACATACTACATTCCTGTGTCCACCATCTTGGATCACATACTTCGGGAGTACCGAACACATTACAGGTTGGTTCAAAAGTAGGCCTACTGTTATTGATACCTGTGTTAACAGCCTACTATTTGGCAAATTTGTATAAATAACATATATAAAACAGTTGTATTCTACCTGGTTTACAAGGAATCATGCAATGCTATATTTTAGATGTTTGTTTTAATTTTAACAATCTTGTATATTTGTAGAAATGGTTTATAATGGATTAGTACATGCTCGTCATTGCACTTTTGATTACCATGTGTGAGTACGAGGTTTGAATCCCGTAGGGGTATAATTTTGCAAATTGCATATAGAGCCAGACTTGTGTAAGCTTATTCCGCTAGAAACCATTTTTACGATAATAATATTTTCATTGCTCTAATCATTTTCACCTTTTCTCTCTTTATTGAACTTTCTTCCTACTTCCTGATCTTATGACCCTCGAACCTGATATGACCCCGTATCTCATTCCAACATATAACGAAACATTAGGTGCTTGAAATAACGTACTTTATGGTTTGGGTGGTTTTGTCTAACATTGTATGACCTTCGACTATAAGTTTGACCTCTATAAAATGACTTTCAACCCCAATTCTGACCTCTACTGTGTGAAATGACCTTCAAAACCTGAAAGTTGACCTCTATAATATGACATTTAACCCCAAATTATAAAATCACCTCGAACCAAAAAATTTACCTCTAATTTACAAAATGACCTTTACCCCAAATTTGCGAAATGACCTTCACTCCTAAATTTGACCTCTACTTTACAAAATGACCTTCAACTTAAAATTTGACCTCTACAAAATAACCTTTGACCCTTAAGTTCCTTAAATTTGACCTTTCCACTCTTCTGCTACGATCCTGCTTCACCCCAACAGGTTCTTCGTGAGCCGTGGCGTCTTTCGACGTCTCAGACCCCCCACCAACAGGGAATGAAGATAAATCTTGTCGAACACCCCTCATTCTTGTCTGGGGAGGAGGATTCGGTGCGGTAAGAATGCAATAGCGACATCTAATGGACGTAGGGGTCTCACACGCTTGCAGGCTATGTCGTGCTGTTTCTTGCATTGAGTCTTTAATCTGTAACAGCAGAAACTCCATAACACACATCAGTGACTTTTTGAAATTACTGTGCCTCTAATAATTCAGCTGCAGGCTTGGGACTTTACCTTTGTAAAATGACCACCAGTGACCCAACAAGGAAGGCGTAGACAATTATTTGAGGGGGCTTGAAGCTAATTGAAAATAATCTACGTGGATGGAACATGAATAATGAAATTGATGTAAATATCCAAAATAAGGCATGCAATATTAAATCGAATTTTCTTTTTTAATTAGCTTGACGTCCCATCAAACAATTGTCTACGGCCCCCTTGCAGGTCGCTCCCCATTTGAGAACCACTACGCTAGGTCATGGCCAGTCTATTGAAGGATCTCAACATCGTTAATAATGATTTCGGTTGCGGTGATACTTGAGAACTGTGTTCTCAATGGTGGGGCGTGTAGACAGTGTGACAGTAGTGTTTGTTTGATTTGATCTTTGCTGCCTTATGTTGGTATTTACATTCACTAGTCTGGTGCAAACTTGACAAATTCTAAAAAAGACTTAAAAAGTTTAAGAACCACTGCTTTAGTTATAGTTCTTGAATCCAATTTCCGACTCCATGGTTCTGTATTCTAGTCTTGTTTTTCACTTTATAGTTGCTCAGCATGGCTTCAAAATTGTGTGTTTCAAATTGGGATAATGTTAGCTTGCTTCTAGAATTCAACCGCTCTTTTAGAAGCAGTATTTAGTACTCAATATTGGTGAAATTTCAATTAAATTTTTTTAATACATTCTCCTTGTGAGCTTGCTCAATGTAGCGGGGACTTGTCTCTGAGCAAGTCTAGCAGCTAGCACTGAAATGCCATAAGCTTTTGAACAGCACAAATTAATGATGTGTGCTCACTCAGAAATAAAGAAGACTCGTGTCCGAATAAAGTATGAGCAACCACTAAAGGCCAAAAACTACTAAAACTAAATGAAATTACAAAAGTGTGTTGTTGGCCAGTAAATACTACCATCAAGCAGAATCTTGCACAGTAGAGTCAAAGAAACTGTTCTGATTTTTAACTCCTCATCATACTTGATCATGCATGGTATGTGTTTGTTTGCATGGAGAATTGAATCTTTTGTGGCCAAGCTCAATAGCAATATAATTTGATATGACTTTATACTTTATCATCTTATACCCCAGCGGGCTGTGCAGTCAGGAATAATTTATAATTATATATAATAATTTATGCCAATCTCTGAGCCATCTAAAAATCGACCACCCATTTCAGATGAACAAAAATGTTTCTTCTTACTCTTGGTTAAAGGAAATCTCTAAAGTACAATAAATTTTGTCTACAAAATCTTCTGCGCATCTTAATTCCTTCTTTAATAAAAAAGTGAAAATAGATCTAAACTTTCCCTCTGAGCAAGGCTGTAGAGAAAAAGTCACTGATTGTAAAGAGCTGTAAATTCTTTTTGAAGGTTGGATTCATTTGAGAATTCATGAAGAATTTATTCGAGAATTCATTTTGTCATTGTTCACTCACTTTATGTGAGTCTCGCTTAGAATATTGTTACTCATGCTCTCAACATACATACTCAAAGCCGAAATTATTAAAATTTGTTTTTTTTGCACAGTTCAAAGTCATATTTCAAATGAAACAGACTTTGGGGTCACAATTGGGTCCAAATTTCCTGACTTCACAGCCTATGCACTGTGACCTGTTACTAAAAAATTTTCTCCACGATTTTGTCAGGTCGCTGACGATGGCTACGGTGTCTCCTACATTATCTGCCACGAAAACACCATAATGTTTCACATCTCAAGCAAAGTCTCCTCTCACGAGACCGTGAGTATTCTTTTTATAATAGTTTTTAGGTGACCTGCATTTGCAACTGCTGCTTCGTAAGTAACAAGTATTTTGTGAAGGACACCAACCTGTGAGACAGGGCTGTGCTGTGCCACCTGGACCCAGCGGGCAAAAATCCGCCCACGAGGAAAAATTTTGTGGGCTGCGGAGAAGTTCCAGTTTTGAATATTGTGCGGCCCCCATAACGAATTTTTGATTTGGTATGTGCGAGTGATTCCAATCACTATGCGTTGTAAAGCCTGTATTTGAGTCCAATTTATTATCTATGCCTATGATCAGTGTTCCCTCTAAGGTGTGCGCGTGTGCGCGCGCACACAGCTTTCAGAGGCTGCGCACACGCATAGATTTGCTGCGCACAGACGTATGTCGATGTAATGTAACAATGTGCTTGGTTGGCAGGTTGAGAAAGTTTGTTGGCCCACTTATTACCCGGTTAGAAACTTAGAACGCCAAAATTTCCTCATTGGTGTTTGCACAACTGGAAGGACTAATACCTTTCCAAAAAAGTGCGCACACACCAAAATTTCTGCGCACACATACTACAAAAAATTAGAGGGAACATTGCCTATGATGTTACAATGCCCTAACAGTTAGCTTGTGCGAAGCATACAACGCTTGTTATAAGATCAACAACTAAATTTTTCATGACTGCCACTAGAAAACCTATGTTCAATAAAGGTGCGTTAACGACCTGATCATTAATTTATTATCAACTTGGCTCTCCAGAAGTGTGTGTACCAATATGGCGGCAACGAATTTTGTTCGCCCACTTTACATCGAGTTGTGTGGTGAGACTGAAACCTATTGGAAGGGGGTGTACTTACTTGACTAACACAGACAGTACCCAAACTCGTAATAGAACTGAAATAAGGAAAATCAAGATAAAATTATGGCCTAACTTTAACCTGGCGCTGACTCTGGTTACACTTTTAATTTACATTCTTAATGTTATCTCCTTATCTTATCAGAACTCATCTAGATTTGCTGATAACATCGAAAAAGCAATGATGGACGTGAAGGACCTCTGCGAATATGCAAAGAAAAAATAATTTAAGAAAAAAACAAAAAAAATTAGGAATTATTATTAGGTTTTAATGCATTGTGTTTTTATAAAAAAAGGGGGAGCACTGGGGGTAAAAAAGTAGGGGATTTTATTTTGATTTTACTTATACTTTCGTGTGAAAAAGCGTGTTCTATTTTTTCTGTAATATTTACTGATTGTGTTTTTATCTTAGTGTAAAACAGATTTGGAAACCAAAAAAAAAAAAATTCTGAGGGATGGGGGAATTTTTCCGATAAATTTGAATTTGAGTAAAATTTTATATAAATCACGATTCAGCATACTTGCATAAATATTTTGACTATTTTGAACAGAAAACTATTTGAACAGACCGGACAATTTGGAACAGACAATTTTACAATTTTGAACAGACCGGCAGTGGCTTGGTATCACTGTAGGCTCTGAACTTTTTTTCTGATCCCTTACCCTGCCCCCTCTCCCCCTCTCTTTCTTTTTCGTTGTCTCACTCAGGTGAGAGCTGTATACAGCATATATATCCGGACATGTTTTTCAAGTTTTTTTTAAGAATTTGGGTGCATTTGCCTGTGGTGAGGTCACAACACAGGACCCAGAGAGGTTATGACATTTTTTTCACACCCCCTGTCCCCCCACCATTTCAATGTCCCAGCCAGGAAGAAAAACCGCTCTAGTGGGAGCTATCTGTTGGGGTCCTGATTTTTTTCTCCCCCTCCCCTCTTTTTCCAAGATAAACTCCTATGTTGTGCTCTCCCGCTTTTTCATTTTCTGTATATTCAACATATCAACCACTTTGTATTTGCTTTTCTGGAACACCACGTAGTCACAAATATTTTTGATAATTGCGTTATATTCGTATTTACATTAACAAGAATACAGCATAGATGTAAAATAGAATAAAAAAAATTCTTAGTTCATTGTTTTGACCCTCACAGACGTATTAAATGAAGGTAAATACACTTTAACAATTACTGATTAAAAAACAACAAACCTGGTTAAGATAATATTAATAACTGAATTCATAACAAAATTGAAATTGTAAACGGACTTTATGGACACCCTGTATTTATGGAGCATTTTAGATTTGACATTATATGATTATATTCTGGGTTATGGCATATCCTATAGGAATAGCTCGTGGATGGGGTTTGTTAAAATTATTATAAAAGACACCGACACAATTCCTTATGACAATCTACTCATTTAAATGTGGTGTTCCCTTTATTTTTATTATATTTGTGATCTTCTTTGATAGACTGTTAGGAATTGAATCGTTTTTAATATTTTAATTATGATTCCAGGACTGCACTTCGGAAACCAAATCTGATAATGAGAACTGTAGCTTATATACAGGGGCATAGCCGGCAGGGGGTTTTGAGGGTTGCTCCTCCCTTTTTTAAACGTAAAAAAGGCATATTACTGATTTAAACATAGCAATTTTTCGTAAAATAAAATGCTTTTTGAACTTTTGAAAACCCAACTGCTTCGGCATCCTTTTGAAATGTAAAAAAAGCAATTTTTTGTAAACTAAAACACTTTTGACTCTTAAGACATATACAACCCCCGGACAGACCTAGCTGTTACGGTCCAACTTGGCAATAACAAATATCAACCCTTCACTTTTAAAAATGCCTGGTTACGCTTCTGCGTATACACGCTTTAATTGTCTGTAAAGAAAACAACTTTGGCTCAATTTTTAGTTTTTGTCGAAATTATGATTATCACCATTAGAAGTCTGAAACTATAATTAATGAGAGAATTCCAAATTTTGACCACAAAAAACTAAGACTCTGTGTCCCATCTCTACAACTCTGATTTTGTGTTCGAATTTTTTGGTGAAACAATATTTTTCTATGAGTTATGTGTAATTGTTCAAGTATTTATTCGAGTGTATTTTTTTTCGCAGGGTGGTGTATTTTTCTAATTATCATATTTTTAGGAGCATGTCATTTACATTACCAGAATCTCAGAATGTGTTCAAGTTTTGCTATTTATATACAAGCCCAGGTGCTCCGGAAGTATTCGCACCAAGATGATGCACAACCTTAACCAGGTACACATACTATGTTCAGGTTGTGCGCCATCTTGGTACGAATACTTTGGGAGCACCAAAGCCCGAATTAATTAAGTGTGTAATGCCAGCTTTTTTTTTACTGGATGTAAATCACAGCGTTCTTGGCTGATTTTGATTTCTGGGTTTCCGAAAGTATTTTTACTCTGAATATTCCAATGGATAGTGAAAATAATGCCATGGATTAGGGTGCTCCCGAAGTATGTGCACCAAGATGTATAGGTACCAGGTTAGAGTTCAGGTTGTGCGCCATCTTTGTGCAAATTTTTCCGGAACGCTTAGATATGAATTCTCGACTCAGAACTACAGACCCTTAATCTCTAGTTTTTAGTCCGGTTGTTCCCAACCATCAACAGCTCCCTTCCTGAGGCTTTAAGGACTCATTGGCCCCCTGTTTATCATTCCAGTGGTATTTATAGTTTTAAATATCCCCGGTTGGGAACCGCTGCTCTAGCCTTTGAATACAGCTTCTCGATATCAATAAGGTCAATTCAAACTAAACTCTGCCGGACTCAAATATTGTTATTGAAAGCATGCCAAACTCTAGGGATGCCCTATCACAGGGATGGCGAACCACTGACCCGCGGGTCACAAAGTGACCCACCGCGTTTTATTGGTGACCCGCCAAGGCACGAATGAAGAAAGAAAAATGCTAACATATCAGTGATAAAAAATATTAAAATCGGCCTTAAATTAATCTAACAATACCTAAACTATTATAATGTACCGTCAGTTGGGCAGTCAGGGCTGCGATCGCTTATATTCAAATTGTTAATTTCCGGTATGATTATATTCAAAACCCCTAATCTTGGACGCATGTCTGCACCGTTGTGTGCCGTTCTTCAGCTATTGGCTCTGACGTAGTTTATGACATAATAATCCCCTCGATGTTCATTTCTCGCAACGTCTTGTCTCTTCAGAAGTGCATCTGCAGACTGTTTTAGGGGTTGTACGAGAACTAGATGCCTCTTTGCATTTTATTAGTTTCTCGCCTACAATGCCGTTGAGAATACAAAATCTTTCAGACTTGAAATAAAAACCCAGAAATCTGGAATAACAATGGGGCAGTGTAAAAGTGCTTTTTATATGGTTAAAGCTGATATAAAAATATAGCACTATCAGAGTGGAATTCCCTTCAAACTCTTTGAAACCGTAAAATAATTTGCATCATCCTAAACGTAATTCATATGTGGGTTTTCGTACCCTTAATCGAGTGCCATAAAAAGTTCCTGATAAAGTGCTGTAAAATAAAGCACTAAACTACACCAACATTAACAGAACCGTTGTATTATGATTTGTTTCAGAAGTTTCTTATAGATACAAACATTGATTAAATATCTGTGACCCACTCTCTTCTGTTCCGCGATAAAAATATGATTTTTGACCCATTCATTGAAAAGGTTCGCCATCCCTGCCCTATCACAACCTAACGCAGGAGTGTGCAACCCGCGGCCATAAGAAAAAAATTGTGTGAAGTGACAATTTTGAAAGGTGTACGGCCTGTAAAATGAGTTTTTATTAGTTCAATCTGGTTCGTGCTAGTTATTCCAATCTCTTTGCATCGCATAGCTTATACCCGAGTTCAATTTATTATCTATGCTTATGACGTCACAGAAGCGAACTACACATGCCATAAGATCAATAGCCAAACTTTTTGTGCCTGCAACTACTAGAAAGCATATGTTAAAAAGGTGCGGCCCGCGGTTTCACCAAGTTATTTGTATCTGGCCCTCTTGTATTAAAAGTTGCCCACCCATGGCCTAAACTATCCAATCTCAAAAAGCTCTCCCGCTCATAATCACTGAAGCATGACTGGGCAGAATAATCACATCCTGACAAGCAGGGTGGAATTCTGTAATTCAAAAGCATTTAGATATAGACTTTTATACTGCTGAATTCAGACCCGCCGTTCTCTCTATATACTTAAACTTTTAGCTCTTTTTGTGTGTTTTGAAATTTTTGAAAGTAAATTAGACAAATATGAACAATATTTTGCAGGACTGTGTTTTTCTATGACCTAGAAGGGGTGAAGACATTTTGAACAATAAAGAATGATGAATTGTAATGCCCTAGTCTTCGATGTGTCGGACTTGACAATGTTGACATTGCAGGTTTGAAATGTTGAGTTTGAATTTCAGATCAGGGTCAGACCCCTCTTCTAAAATGTAAAAAAAGCATGATAGGAATTTTTCCTAGCTTGAAACTCTTTTTAGACCCTCAGGACCTTTGAAAGCCCGCGTTTTCGGGCATGGAGCCGGTTCTGCTAGCTGTTATGGTCGAACTTGAAAATTACAAAGTTCAGAATCCCCCTTCTGAAATTCCTGGCTACACTTCTGACTCTGATCACCAATACCGACCTAACATGTCTTCTTATAGCAATGGTAGCTTTTTGTTCATCAGAAGAGCTTTCGAATCCGTTCAGACTCTTTTCTTCCGAGTGAGTTATTTGATGAAACATGTCTCTTACTGTATGTGAACACTCAGCTACTTATTGGGACACGTTAGTGGACATTCAATATTATGTTGTTGTTCTTGTTATTCGTCATCATTATCATTAAAAAATCGCTTTCCTCTTCGAATACTGGACCAATAGCTTTGAAATTTATGAGTATAAGTTTATTTCGACTCCATAATTAGCATAACAATACATTTGACGGATAAAAACAAATAAATAAAAGCTGATTATGAAATCAGGGGAGCCAACGAAGATGGAAGGTTTTGCCAAAAGGATTACCAAGCTGATTATAGTTGGAGTCAAATACCAAGTTGCCAGAATTGGGTGCATGAAGAGGTGGGCGAGACCATTTCATTCCCCAAATTAGAGCCTATTATTGCCAAATTATAGTCCAGATTGTAATAAGTAATTTACCGGTAACAGTAAAATTACTATAATTAAGTAAAGTAGGATATGAAAATAAATTGGTTACAAAGTGTGTAAGTGTGGTTTTTCATTCTTGGGTATTGATTTCAGACAAGGATATGGGAATAAGATTGTTATTTCACAGGATATCGGAGTCTTTGTTTGATTTTTTCCTCATGTGTTTTACTTCATTTAATCACTTTGAAGTAACCTGAAAAACAAAAAATAAAACTGCGAGTAGATGTTTCAATGATTGGGTGGAGGGGAACGCGCTGAACTATATATTACATGCAAAAAATAATTGTTTAATTAAATGGGATGTATTGTCATTATATAGCGATTGATAGATGATCTATGATGACATTCTGCTTGGGACAG